CCAGTGAACCAGCTTGTTTTGTACAGGAGACTTGCTGCAATCGGCCTTGTTGCGATGTCAGCTGAGTTTTTCTCTGTTGCAACATAATTCCACTGCGTGCATGTAGTGGACTTCATAATTCTGGAGACTCTGTTGGACACATGGATGTAAAACCTTTGCGAAGCATTATAGATGTAGCCTAACACAATCTTGCTGTCTGTGTAATACCGGGGTCATACAAGCAGTTGACTGTAGAGAGTATGCCTCACTTAGTGAAGGGTCTTTCTTCCTTGGAAACTTGGAAGGTGAAAGAATCTGATTCAAGACTCCAGCTCAGTACAAGGCTACGCTGAACAGGAAGAGGATCTGTCCATAGGTCTAGGTTTTTCAGGTACTTGGCCAGATCATCAGCTGGAAATGCATCCATTACCTTGCTACTGTTTGAGGCAATTTTGTGTAGCCATAAATTGGACTCAGCTAACATCTTCTGTGTTCTTTGAAGAAGACTGATGGCTTCTGTTTCTGTAGGGAGTGAAGTCAGACCGTCGTTGACATAAAAGTTTCTGGTAACAAACTCCCTTGCATCTTTGCCGTGCTCTGCCTCTCCTGCTTGAGCTGCTTTTCTCAGCCCATAGATCGCCACAGCTGGTGAGGGGTATTTCCAAACACATGCACTGTCATGCGGAACTCTGTCACGTCTTTTGTGAGGTCATTGTCTCGGTACCAGAGAAAACGTAGGTAGTTCCAGTGATCTTCCCTTACAGTAAAGCAGTAGAACATCTGTTCCACATCTGCAGTTATTGCTATAAGCTCTTTTCGAAACCGCAGTAGCACTCCAACCAAAGTGTTGTTCAAGTCTGGACCACTTAAAAGGACATCATTCAACGACACCCCCTCGTGTTTCGCGCTCGAGTCAAAAACTACCCGTATTTGTCCAGGCTTTTGCGGATGGTATGCTCCAAACAATGGAAGATACCAGCACTCTTCCTCAGGCTTCAAAGCCGGTGCTAACTCTGCTTGCTGACTGTCAAACATCTTCTGCATGAACTTAACAAAGTGATCTCTCATGTCTGCCTTCCTGTCAAGACTCTGCTTGAGAGTGTGCAGTCGTTTAAGAGCCTGCTGGCGGTTGTTTGGCAGTCGCTGCCTATGTGTTACAAAGGGCAGAGGCGCGACCCAACACGTGACTGTTGCCTAAGAGCCAGATGCTGACTCCATAAGGATGAAGCACAATCACAAAAAAACAAGATTCCAAATAGTGTAACTGTACAAAACCAAACACAGTATTATTAACTAAGACCTAATGTTATTCAGGATGAGAATTGAGCAGATTAAATGTCCAAGCTCATTCAGAAAGTCCCACACAAGTTAGGAAAAGTAACCAACTTGGAACAAGGGGAATTACAAAGAGCTCCCCATGGTGATCGAGATGACGTCGATGCTTGATGCACCAATGTAACCCATCTGTATGTTACGTCTGTCTAGGCATTGTGTTCTGGCGTGAAAGTAAGAGACAGGAGACAGCACTGGGTCTTTGGCTTTTTACTGCACATCTGCAACACAGAAATAAAGGCCTGAGCTGTGTGTGTCGCGTCTGCCAGGACACCTCTCCTCCGGCCATGCTGAAAGGAGCGGTGACCGGGGCACACATGCACGCGCCTACGTCATACGTAGCGCACACACACACGAATACACACAGACTCAGATCACACAGGCAGGAGATTAAAATGCAAAATTAAATATTTAATTTAAAAAAAGCTGTTTGGGGTGAAATTCACAAGTATTTAACACATATGTTACATGAGCCTCAATAGATTTTCTTTGTACACTGGCTGTGATCAGCTGACCTGTTCTGTTGCTGCGGCTCTGAGATTTTGTTAATATTTGTAGATTTACACATTTGAATTCAAGAAGATGTAAGCAGATGTTTCATGAATTGTTTTGGCTGATTTCCAACGCCAAGTTTATCAAATGTCACTGAGTAGTCCTTACCTTTAATTGTGACCTCTCTTCTACCTCTCTTGGCCTATATTTCTTATCATTCTCCATTGCTGTGTGACGTTTGCTCTCACTCTTTCCTCTACCTGGGAAACACAAGTGGACTCAGTGTGCAGGCTGAACACAAACAGTTTGTGTGTCTGCTGATACTTGTTAACTGAAACATTGCCTTTTAATTTACCTGCTATATTACTCCTTTTACGCTCGCTCCTCTTCTGTAGGTCTAGCTAGATTCTGAAGTATCACAAATACATCTTATGTACATTGACACTCGTTTTGATGTGGCAAAACTCCCCAAAACAAACATACAATAAGTCATGCATAAATTACATGTTTTTGCCTTTTCCGTCACTTTATATGTAATAATCCCTGGTGAAACACCGTTAGGATAGTCCTTTGTGTATAGGGATGGGTATCGTCTAGGTTTTATC